TTTGTTTTTCCAGGTTATTATTTTTTTTAAACACCTCATTTGGAAAAAGAAAAAAAGCACCGAGTGTAATAAACTGCATACATAATACAGAACACAGACGAAGGAGCCAAGTGTTTCTACTCACCGTCAGACACGTGCAGCGACGTCGTAAGTATAGACCCACGCAGAGACAGAGACTCCTCGAAGGGTCAGCTGCGCAGAAAGGTGCTCTGAAATAGTAAGGAGTGAGATGTTAAATTTTAGTTAGCGTTTTACGACACTAGCAACACAATTAGGTCATATATAAGTGTTGAAGATAAGTCCGTTTAGTCAGAGTTTTAATTTGCTTACAACACAAATGGGTCAATAAAAGCCGATGGTCAGTGGTATCACAATAGAGCAACAAGCACAAAAAGGAGAGACAAGGATGATAAATGTTTGATTGGAAAGAAGGCGCAAATCACACAAGAACACCCTCAACCACCCACAATTTCACTTTAGAATTCACTTTCTCAAACAAAACTTTAAGAATTAAATGAGGCTCTCATCACAAACGTAATGTAACAAAAACATAGTGACGCAACAAATGCCCATAGCATAAATCAGGGACAAAAGGCTTTTAAAGTGTGGCCGAAACAGAAAAGGGACTGGACCAATTTAAAAAATATATGTTCAAGACCATTAATTTTTTTTTTATTCTGTCTGAAGAACATCAAAGAAATTCACCACATTAACTCTTTGTGTACGGCATGCCACCGGTCAGTTGTTTAAAGGCATAAAATAAATTTAAGAACTCTAGTAAATCGTACTTGTCGAACTACATACTAATACTATATATTATATACTTATTGAATTGCATGGAACATTCGTTTCTACTCAGTTTCGTATTTATGTTATGCAAATATGTTAAACGGGCGAAAAATTATTGGGAAGTACGTAATGCTAAAAAAAAAGATGACAAAGCTGGTAGCGAACAAAGATGGACTAGCTATCGGTATACTTGGAGCTAATAAGTGTATAAGGGCCTGTAAATTAAAAAGCATACACTTATATAAAAATTTGGAGAACAATCAAAATGTAATACCCCCTCCCCAACCCGCCCCGCCAAAACAACAATTATTTTCTTCACAACAATATATATTTTTCTACAGCAGAAGGGCTCGCATATAATAAGCTTCAACAAGCTAATGATCAAAAGAGTTGAATAGGCCCCAGTATCTAAAAAT